ATCCTCTCACATCAATATAAAGCTAGCCCGTTGCACCAAAAAATATATATATAAAGCTAGCCCGCTTCCACTCAGAACACATATTAAGTTGCTAACCACGAGAGAGAGAAAGAGAGAGCGAGAGAGATGGGCGTACGTGCAGGTTGGTCGCTTGGATGCTCGAATGGCCACACTAGTGCTGATGTCGACACTAGTTCTGACAATTATCAACGGAGGCTTCGACGGCGGTGTAATTATCTCTGCTGAAGCTGCCCTCGATCCTATGTGCGCTGCTTCCAACCAGTGGTTCTGTAGTCCGACCGACCTCGTGTTATCAAAGGGACCGATTTTATGGATTGTAAGTTTGGGAAAGTAAAGAAGAAGAAGAGGAAGAAGATCGAAAATGAAGGAGAGGAGAGGTCCTTCAGTGTTTTTCGTTCTGATTCTCCCCTTCAGTTCGGGCCACAGCTTCTCAGGCCCACTTGAAATCTATTAGCAAAAAGCCAACGTTGAGATGGCTTGAGGATTGGTAAGCCCAGCCGAGCGGACCAATATAGAGAACACTTAGGTCTGTTTTCTTCCTTGGATCAAAATCCTTGGAAAACAGAGAATTGATATGGAAGATGAAGTACGAAAAGAAAAGTGCAGAAATCTAAAGAACACACGATATTTTTAACGTGGTTCACCCTGGTGCAATGGGCTACGTCCACACCTACGACTTCTATTTTATTTTCTTTACGATCTAACTTACAAGTACAAAAGAAGCAAATCGAAATAAAGATTCAAAGAGAAATTCTAGAAACAAAGTAGAATGACGAATAAACAACCCAAATTGCAAACTCCGGAATTTGTATCAGCCACTAGCACTACAAAAAAAAAGGGTCTATGGCAAGGGTTATTTTCCTTCGTAGCAAGGGTTTTAACCCCTGCTACAGGATTTAGCAAGGGTTTAACCAACCCTTGGACGGACCCTTGGCAAAGCCGCCCCTGCTACGTGTAGCAAGGGTTTAAACCCTTGCTACACGTAGGTGAAAATTCAAGCATGTGTTGCTCGTACCAGCAGTTAAAACCCTTGCATAATTCGTTCCTACATCTAGCAAGGGTTTCGACCCTTGCTACAGGCCTTTGTAACTTTATGTAAAATTGCTGAAGATACGCTACTTGCAAGGGTTAAAACCCTGGCACAGTTTGTGACTAAAGCTAAAAAAACATTTGTGTCGAAATCAAAATGGTCACTAAAAGTCGTCACTAAAGAGAGGCAACAAGATTCGTGGCAAAAGCTTGGTTACAAACCCTGGTCATTAAAACAAATCCAGAACCAAGTTTGTTACTAAAACTCATACCATATACCCATTAATCATAACATAATATGATTCATAATCCAAAATGGTGTTCTTTACATGACTAAATACTAATCACCATGAACATTCAAACATACTCAAAAGAACCCAAAATGGTGTTCTTTACATGACCAAATTCATACCATATACCCATGAATCATAACATAATATGATTCATAATCCAAAATGGTGTTCTTTACATGGTGTTCTTTACCATCGACCATTTCCAAAATGCTTCATACGACATTTGATCACGAAGCTCGAGATCCCATTGATGGTGTAGGAGCACTAGTGGCACCCTGCTCATAAAATAAAATAAAAAATCATAAAGAAAACAGAATTTTCTCAGTCATAAACACACACGCTTGGCAACAACTTTCCAGCACATAGATTCAGTCAAAGCCACCATTGCTAGTCATAAACACACAAGCTTCCATCATCAAACTAGATCATTACCCTGAATAGAAATTTTACCATCAAATCATTAGAAAATACTACTTATAACTACAACTGCATTTCTAAGTGTGCCTATGGCATTCAGCTGCAAGAGAAACACTGAACCGACTTAAGGAATTTTGACTCTGGCAGCATTCAGCAAGAAATGTTAGAAATTTGGGAGTTGTATGGAAAAAGATTAAAATATAGGCAAATAGGACAATTATGAGTAAGTGTTAAGGGCAAGTATTGACAACCATTCAATTGTTTCACATTAGAACTGCAACCTGGTCCTCGTTTCTCATTATCAAAGCTACTCTGCATCTAATTCGCTACCTTATGTTCCAAGTTTGAAGAAAGGTACATGGAGAAAGGAACTAACAACTACTACAATCAACCAAAATGTTGCAACAGCATATGAGAAAGCACCACTACAAATAATTCAAGTAGAGTATAGAGGAATGGAATGCTCCACTCCATCATGAAATTACAGAATAGACTCAAGCTCAAGCACTCAGCTCATGGGTCAGCATACTCCACAATGTGATGTTAAGCAGTAAATACCTAATATCATTACTCAAACATGATACTCACACTTATGGAAGATAAAAACAGAAGTGCACTGTTAGGTTTGGTTGCATGATTTGGATAGAAATAAAACCTCCCATTACCAATGTGATAACAGAAGACACCCTCAACTCCAAAACATGTATGTAACCAACTTAATGTGGACACGATACAACAATAGAAGGAAGGGGGGCTTAGGGTAGCACATCAAAAACAGAACCAAAAAAATTCAGATGTAATTGATTAGGAGAAAAGACAGATGGGACATTACCTAGAAGGAAACCCTAGCACTAGTACATTAAACAGAGTTCTTTCCAACTAGAAGGGATCATCTTATCGAAAGAGAGCAAGGGAGAACCTACCTTCAATAAACAATTGGGATGTAGTGTAACCCCATCTGCGGCTCTGTCAACTTTGAACCAATCAACTGCTATTAGCTTGAGAAGTGGATCTCCACCCACCACCTGAATTATTATTACAACCAGTGTAAGCATAGAAAAGAAAACTAGTCGCCTAGCATGAGAAGTGTACAGCAGCACCATCTATGGTGATGATAATTAACAAGGAATCACCTCATTTCAGATTAAAGTATCACGCTTACAATTTCAAACAAATTCATAAATAATGACCTAGACTTATAGAACTAAAAATACATTATTTACACTATAAATAATTCTTTGATTAGTCGTCAACGAGATCTACTTATTATGTTTCATAACTATATATAATAATAGTTTTTATTATGAAAAGTGCCATAACTAAAAATGTAGGTTAGTTCCATATGTGTACTGTAAACAAGATCAGCTGACCAAACTCTATCCCCAGAACAAGAAACGAAAAAGGGAAGAGACAGTTGGTGCCAAGCTACTAAGATTGGCAACAGATTAATAAGTAATTGACAAGTCCTGTTACACCCAAACATATCACTAAGCAGGCTATTACATAGCACCAATTTGAACCAAAGCTGCTGATACAGAGTCCTGCCTACCACTTCAACTTAATCCAACTGCCAGTTAATGAAATCGGATCATGATCAATGTTTATTAATTGGATCAAAAATTTACCCTTCAGGTGCATGTAGTAGCAGAGTAAGGATCATCTTATACTAATCAAGAAAACAAAGTTTTGATCTTAAACCCCAACCAGGGTAGAAAACCCAGAACCAGAATCAGTCAGAAATAATTACCAAGAAAAAAGACAGATGAGACATTACCTGATTGTTTTCAGCATCTTCCATCCAGTTTTGTCCTGGAAACTTCCTACTGACGAACCTCGCCATGGCCTGAACGGCAAAAATATTATGATACTGAGGAACAAAATGATAGAACTATATCGCCCTTAGAACTATAGATGCACTTAACCATATAAAAAAGATCACCAACTACAGTTTGGAAACTCTAGACTATAGATGCACGAAGTCATGGAAACAAAAGGAATTAGAATCTCTGGATGTCCAATTAAGCCTCAAATAAATTGCAAAGTTAAAGCAGAACTAAACATTAGAGATTTTCCTGGAACACAAATTGCAGCAACCGATCAAAAGAAGGAAGAACCTATACTTTCAATGATCTAGACCAACTGGCAGTATCATGTACCTATCTATTGGGGATCAGAGAGCGTCACCATAAAGTTCCCCACACTGTTTTCCCGCAAGGAATCCAGAGAAACAAGAGGGAATCTTCCATTTGATTGGCAGACACTTCCCTTTTTGCAGCAGCAGCTCAACGGTTATAATCCCACCTCAACAATAATATAACCAACACTTAAACCAATCAAAAGTCTAATCATGCCACCTTCAGCAGCCATGCGAAATTGCTGGAGCTTCCTATTAAGTAACTGAGGGTAAAATGAACTAACATATATAGAGAAGAACTAAAGATGGAAGTCTTACAAGCGTCGAATTACTAGGCATGAAATTTCAATAAGAATGAGAACATAGAATCAAGTAAATAACAAACCATAATTGAGTGGATTAAGAAGAAGCAGAAATAATCATACACATCTTTTACAAATCAAGTTGCTCCTGTGATTATTCTTGAACTACAACCCAACTCTAGTTGGCAGGAAGTCAGCCCTGAATTAAGATCAAGTAATGTTAGTATTAGTATTATCATATAAAAGGAGAGAAAACATCATAAGGACTAGGACTTAAGTCAATCATACTCACATCATCATAACTCAACCTACAAGAGCTCACTTCTTAAAGATGATTCCAACTTGCCCCTGCCAGCCCAACTGTTTGCTCCAATCTCAACATCAGTCCCCATCCTCACATTCTGAAGCTGCAAAAATTGGGGAAGAGAATTGAATAGTAAGTAAATAAGTCCAAATAGCTCCAGATAGAGGGACCGGAGGACTACTAACTCTAAACTAGGCCTGTCCAATTGGTTTCGGGTTTTCGGGTTAAACCGAACCCGAACCGAAAACGATGAAGTCGGGTATCGGGTTTTCGGTTTCAAACCGAAGCAACAGTTGGCGGTTTCGGTTTTTCTGTAACCCGAAAACCAATAAAAACCCGAAAAACCCGAAAGCTGTGATAGGGGTAAACGGTGACGTTTTTTGGACCTCTTAGGGACTTAGGGTTCGGGATCGCCTTGCGAGTTGCGAATTGCAACAGAGGAGCATTGCTCTGCTCGACTGCTCGAGACTGCTCGCCGAAACAGAGCCTCCCTTCTCAGTTCAACTTCTCGCCGCCGTCAACGTCTGGTGATATTCGTACGCCATCAGGTTTCTTATCAGCGTCCCGCATCTGGGTTTGAGTGTGAGCACGGGGAGCCGGAGGGTTTTCCCATGAACTTCGTAGCTGACCGCGGATTTCAAACTGTTGCTGCCATCTTCGACGGGGAGTATTCTCATGCCTAGATGTCGAGTAAGGAGCGAAGCAGCCGGAATCCATGCCTGATCATATACTAGTCTCCTTCTGCGGGAATCGATCAGAGACACCAATTCACGGACAACCCAAAATATCCCGGTGGGCTTGAGAAATTTTGCACCTGGAAAAGAAAAAGAAAAAAAATCCATCGGACCAAAAAAAAAAAAAAAAAGAGTGCAATCCAATCCCGGGTCAGATTCATTCAATGCGATTGAACTTTAGTATTGGTTGAATTTACCTAGTGATGCTTGGAAAGCATCGTGGAATAGATCGAATATGTCGAAACCATAGCGAGTACAGCTCTGGGATTCCTTGATCAACCCTGGAGGAGCCATTTCCAATATGTGGAGAAAGCTTGTGGAATCTTCCTCCTTCTGATCCTGGACACCACCACCCACGATCTGAAAGTACAGATATTCCAACAAATCCCGAGGTTGCTGATTGATGGGAACAGAATGAATACGATTATTGTTATCATCATCGTGAGAACGCAAAAACTGCAGGGGAGAAAGGTCCTGGTAAACCCTGGAGCAGGCAGCAGAAACAGAGTGCTCTGGCAGTAGAAACAGAGGGATCTGGTTCTCCAGCATCACCGCGTCATTCATCAGGATGGAACCGCAATCACAATCTTCTTGGAGCATCAGCCCGGCCAGGAAGAGGGAATCGAGCGCTAAAAGCGACGCCAGAGTAGAATCGAGGACGTCGAGATGGGAATTGTACTGCGCTCTGATCGGTTTCGGGTTCACCCGAACCGAACCAAAACCGCGGTTATTTCTCGGTTTTTTGTACCCGAAACCCGCAAAGCATCTGGTCGGTTTCAGTTTCGGGTTGGCGGAGTTCGGTTTCGATTTCTCGGGTTTTTACGGTTTTCGGGTTCGGTTACCCGACCCGACCCGAACCGACAGCCCTACTCTAAACCCTTGTCTATTTAGAAAGAACTTAGTGTCCACATCAAGTCGCCGCACTTCGAGTGATAGTAAGATCCACAGTCGACATGAAAGACAGAAGGTTCCATGCTCATCACTACAGTAAACCTAAAATCACAGAACTAGGAGAATGTTCGATCGAAACCGATAGAATAATTGAACGAAATAGCAATCCTACGCAGGGGAAGACATATGAGGAACTACATGTGAACCCTAACTTCATATATGATACAGGGACAGTGTCGTCTTCGATTGTTAGCTCAATCACCATCGACCTCCACTGCTGCTTTCACAACATCAATCCGGTGATTAAACCATATTTTCTTGCGGCTATTGCGAAGAAGCTTGCCAACGGCAGGAAGCACGAGTACGACCACTTTCTTAGCGATGCGATGAAGCTCCGCTCTGGCCTAGCGATCTGCCAGTAACATTGTTGATTCCGCTGTGGGATGTTCTCGAACTAATTGAAATGAAGACTTCCATAGTCTATGGCAGCGGCGATGGCGATGGCCGAGTTCGGAGCTCAGATCGACGATTTGGGGAGGAAAAGAAAGGCGAAAAAGAGGAGAATTGGGGATTTTTTTAGGATGAGGGTTATTTTATTCTTACTTTTGGTGGGGTAAGGAAATAGAGTTGTTCGCTAGCAACGGTTACTAAAACCTCGAAAGAAACCCTTGTTAAAATGATTTCCGAAATTTTTTGCAGGGGTTTATCTAACCCTTGCAACGTAACCCTTGGCATAGAGGGTTTTTTTTTTTGTAGTGTAGCAAAGAACCTCTTCCCCTTTGCTAAACCCTTTTGTTTAGAAACCCTTTTCCGTTCTCTCACAAAAGTGAAGAGGCAATACGTTTCAGTCCCTTTTATAGATGAGGAGGAGGTGAGATGGAACCTTCCTTATTTGCAATGCTTGATCAAAGGAGTGATTCTTGTGCTGTGATTATGCAATCAATCAGTTGATTGATTTCGACTTGATTTCCAAGATTCTAGGAAGATGATTTATTCCCAACGAGCTATTTTGTCGACTGTCTCTGATTTCCCAAATCTTCCTACAATCTCCCCTTAAATCAGAGATTGTCGATTGCCTGAAACAAAGAAGACGACACTACCTTTCCTCTTCTCTAAGGAGTTAGTATTTAACAAGAAGATAATTATTTCACATCTCTTTAAGAGGAACATTCAATCCGCATAGAGAAAAAGAGATTATCATCGATAGCAAAGCCGACACAGTTTTAACTTAAGCAATCATAAAAGGCCGAAGTAATCATAATCTATCACGAAATTTAGGCCGAGAACCATAAGACTAGCTAAACAATCGAACTAAGTTAAACATCATCACTAGTGTTGTTGTTGGTGTCACTGCTCTCGCTGGAACTAACACTAGTGCTGTTGTCGACTTCTTCCTTGACAGTGTCCTCGTCTCCACTGTCCTCGTCAAGGGGTTCCTCCCCTTCAATCGCAATCTCCAGAGCTTCAAGGTTATCCGCAGCCACAGGGGAGAACACAGGATCGAAAGTGATAAAGGATGATAGGTTTATCTCAAGGTGAACTAGAAGGGTCGACACAAGGGGACCGAAAGGCAGGGCTTCACCTAGGACAGGTTTAGTGAATCGCAGTAGTGACCCAAAAAATAAGTGAAAGTAATTCAGAGGGGTACCATGGACAGCATTCAAGATGATCCAAAGATCGAGAGGGAGAATAGTTGTGACAGAGTGATCTCTGGGAAGGAAGACTCGAACAATGTAATAGTGGAGGAGACGAAGGGGTAGGGGAAGGACAGTGACAGGTAAAGTATTATTTGGTCCGGGAGGATGGCCAGTAATAGAAAGGAATTCCTCAGCAAGGTTGAAGGCAAACAGAGGAAATTCGGACTCATCGGCTAAAGTAACCCCATGAACAGGAATATTCAAGAGCATGGTGAGATCATCAATATGAATGGCAAAGGCATGGCCAAAGACCAGAGAGTGAAAGGAACGAGATGACAGCCCAGGGGATTGAAGATTGGAATAGAACAGTTGGATAATTTCAGGGCAAAACGAGGTCGTTAGAGGAGCATCAAGGAGAGAGGTCCAACCAAGGTTTTGAACAAGGGAGTAATATCAAGGCCAGCGTCCACTAAAGCAGGGAACGGCACAAGACAGAAGGAAATCAAGGGGCGATTGAAAAAAACTGGATGTGACGATGATAGTTTGAGATGATAGGCTCAAGGAACAATGTACCCGTGTATGTGATGATGAGTACCATTGTAAGATTAGATAGAGAGGGAGCAGATGGAGAGTACACGGAAGAGACCTAGGGCTGGTAATTAAATAAACATGACATACTCAATCAAGGAAACTACTAATCAAGAAGAAAACTATCACACAAAAAGAAAGTAATAAATGAAGATTAAAACAGGAAGAAGAAAAAACTAAAAAAAAAACTAAAAAGGAAGCAGAGGTTAGCGAATGATGCTCTCGGAGAGAGCCTGATGAGAGCAAAGTCCGAGTTCATAGCACAAAAAGATGAATCGATCAGCAGGTAGAGATTTTGTGAAAATGTCAGCCAGCTGGAATTCAGTAGGAATATGATGTAGAGAAACAGTATGAGCCTGAACTAGATCCCGGATGAAATGATATTTCACTTCTATATGTTTGGTTCTAGAATGTTGCACGGGATTTTTAGTAATGCAAATGGCACTTGTGTTATCACAAAATAAAGGCATGGTTGGTGTTTTTATACCATAATCGGCTAGCTGGTTTTTTAACCAAAGAAGCTGAGTGCATGAGCTACCAGCCGCTATATATTCTGCCTCAGCTGTGGATAAAGCCACTACACTTTGCTTCTTACTAGACCACGAAACCAGAGAAGTTCCTACCAACTGACAACTACCAGTGGTGCTACGACGATCAGTAAGACTCCCAGCAAAATCAGAATCACTGTAGCCTAAAAGATCAAAGCTATCGTGCCGAGGATACCATAGATATACATCTGATGTGCCTTTAATATATCTAAAAATCCGCTTTAAGGCAGTTAAATGACTTTCTTTGGGTGCTGATTGAAACCGAGCACATAGACAAACAGAGAAGAGGATGTCAGGTCGACTGGCAGTAATATAGAGTAAAGAACCTATCATACCCCTATACTGAGACTCGTTTACTGGGTTTCCTGTCTCATCCTGACAAAGCTTAGTAGTAGTGGCCATCGGTGTAGGGCTGGGATTTAAGGAGTTGAAGCCAAATTTACTAAGCATGCAGGAGATGTACTTAGATTGATTAATAACAATACCTTCACTAGTTTGTTTTATCTGTAGACCCAGGAAGAATTGTAGCTCACCCATCATGCTCATTTCAAAAACACTTTTCATAGAAGCACAGAAATCAGAGCATAGTTGATCATTGGTTGAACCAAAAACAATGTCGTCGACATATACTTGAACCAAAAGAAGATCACTAGAAACACGTTTAATAAACAAAGTTTTGTCTACTGATCCTTGCTCAAAGCCTTGACTTAGTAAGAACGACGTGAGTCGTTCATACCAAGCACGAGGAGCTTGCTTAAGGCCGTAGAGAGCTTTATTTAGTTTAAAAACATAGTTTGGGTGTTCATGACTTTCAAAACCAGGGGGCTGGGTTACATAGACATCTTCTTCTATGATACCATTTAAGAAGGCGCTCTTAACGTCCATCTGATATAATTTAAAGTTCATATAACTAGCAAAGGCACAAAGAAGACGGATTGATTCAAGACGAGCAACAGGTGCAAATGTCTCATCATAGTCAATCCCTTCTTCTTGTGAGTGTCCTTGAGCAACTAAACGAGCTTTATTACGGATTATTATACCTTCTTCATCAGTTTTATTCCGAAAACCCCATTTTGTTCCTAAAGGAGTCACAGTATCAGGACAGGGAACTAGATCCCACACATGAAGATGTTCAAATTGAGTCAATTCTTCAATCATAGCATAAGACCATTCATCATCTTTCAGGGCTTCCTTATAGTTTCTAGGTTCATGTTGAGAAACAAAGACATATTGTCCAGGAGTGTACTTACCTCGAGTTCTGACTCCATCTGTTATTTGGCCAATGACCTGACTTGGGGGATGTCGTTTCTTGATGTGTGCTGGAGCTGTCAGAGTTTCTTCCGGATCCAGATTGGGAGTATCAGGTTCTGGATCATTCGAGTTGACTGCGAGAGGGTCTTCAGATTCAGTAGGAAGTGGTGTAGGAATCTCGTGATGTGTGTCTACCTCTGAATTAACATTTGCTGCAGGAGTTGAAGAGGCTGCATCTGTAGATTGAGTCTGAGCCGAAGCATTTGATGAATGTGTCATCTCTGCAAAGTCAAATACTTCCATATCCGGGTTGCTAGGTTGCAACGCCATATTAGTATCATCAAAAGTTACATGCACAGTTTCCTCAACTCGTTGAGTCCTTTTATTAAACACCCTATAAGCTTGACCTTTAATAGAGTATCCAAGAAAAATTCCTTCATCAGACTTAGCATCAAATTTTCCTAAGTTGTCCTTGGTATTCAAACAATAGCAGCGATAACCGAAGGGATGAAAGTAGGAAATGCTTGGTTTCTTGCCTTTAAAGATTTCATAAGGTGTCTTATTTAAGTGCTTACGAATTAAAACTCGATTTCCTATATAGCATGCTGTGCTAACTGCTTCTGCCCAAAAATATTTAGGTAATCCATATTCAAGAAGCATGGTCCTAGCACATTCAATTAAAGTA